AGTCTTTCAGTCCCTGTTTAGACATCTCATGACTTGGTGAGAACTCTTAAAAATCAGAGCACTGAGATTAAAAATGGTGGCTGACTGAGTGGAAGATACACTGACACTCTCCTAGGACCAAACTGGAATTACAACTAAAATATAGAAAAACGATCCTGAATAATCAATTGCAACTGAAGATGAGCTGGAGAGCACCCAAATAACCAAGGGGAAAAAGTGGAGATTGCATAGAGACTGGTAGGAAGTACAGAGGCGCAAGAGGGCTGGCTGGGCACCCACAGGCAGCAGCTTAAGGTCCAGAGGGATATCTCAGCTGTGGGGTGTTCCCACTGAGAACTCTGGGGCCTAAACCCCAGGCTGGGATTCCTAGCCCAGAGCATGAGAATGAGAAGGGTGCCCACATAACATCTGGCTGTGAAAAACAGCTGGTTTTTTTATCTGCCAGGGAGAGATGGCTAGAAATGCAGGCACCTTCTTAAAGAGCCAATGCACAAAGTTTCATGTGCAGCCACTCACCTTGGGCTCCAGCAAAGGGAGGGCAGAGTGGACTGGAGCTGTGTGAGGGGAATCTAGGGTTGTAGGTTCTGGAGATAGAGCTCAGAGGGCGTCCCTCTGGATTCCTGTGCCAAGTCATTCCCCCATTCTGCAGAGGACATCTTTCACAGGCAGACATTTACCTTCCAAACAGCTTTTGCCTGAGGGGGAAGCAATTGCCCCGCCCTACTGGAAAACCTCTGGCCCCACCCAGAGGAGTTTCTACAGCCTGAGGCTCATTAAGAGAATCAAAGTAGCCTGCAAGCAAAGGTAGACCTCAGAGTGCTTTGAGTGTTTTTCCCGCTCTGCTTGTGGACACAGGCCTTGGAAAAAGCAGACTTTGGTGTGCTTCTGGGTCCTGTTCAAATGTACCCAGTCGCAAGAGGGTACCTCAAGCCATGGGCTGTTGATAGTTCCAAACAGGATACTCAAGGCCAGTCATAAACAGCGTCTGACATTGGCCTACACCAGAGACCTTCCAAAAAGACTCAGAGTCCTAGCAGGCCTACCTAATACTTAGTAACAAACCCAAATAGGCAGCCAAAATGGGGAGACACAAAACAAGCCCCGAATGAAAAGACAAAAGAAGTCTTCAGAAAAAGAGCTAAATGAAATGGAGATAAACAATCTCTCAGATATAGAGTTCAGAATACTGATTGTAAGGATGCCCAAAAGCATGAAAAAGGATACGGAAACTATGAAAAATGACCAGTGAGAAATGAATGACGTAGCAGAAATAAAGAATACATTGGAAGGAATAAACAGCAGATTAGAGGAAGCTGAGGATCAGATCAGGGAATTAGAAGACGGTAGAAAAAAATCACTCAATCAGAGACCCCAAAACAAAAACAATTGAAAAACAGGACAGTCTAAGGGAGCTGTGGGACAGCATGAAATGGTTCAATATTTGCATCATAGGAGTGCCAGAGGAGGTTGAAAGTAAGCAAGGGTTAGAGAACCTGTTTGAAGAAATAATGGCAGAAAATTTCCCTACCCTGGTGAAGGAAAAAGTCACACAAGTTCAAGAGGCACAGAGAGTCCCAAGCAAGAAGAACCCAAAGATTCCCACACCCTGACACATCATAATTATAATGCCAAAAATTCAAGACAGAGAATATTAAAGGCAGCAAAAGAGAATAACAATCTGTTACCTACAAAGGAGCTCCCATAAGGTTGCTAGCTGACTTCTCATCAGAAACTCTACATGCCAGAAGGTAATGGCATGAAGTATTCAAGGTAATGCAAAACAAGGACCTGAAACCAAGACTGCACTATCCAGCAAGGCTATCATTCAAAATAGATGGTAAAATAAAGAGCTTCCCAGACAAAAAAAAGGCTAAAGGAGTTTATCACCACCAAACCAGCATTGCAGGAAATGTTAAAGGAACTGCTGTAATAATAATAAGAAATAGAGAGAGAAACATAGGCGTAAAGAATCCAAATGGCAATAAATAAGGACCTATCAATAATAACCTTAAGGACTTTAAGGGAGAGATCAACATTAATACAGTCATGGTTGTGGATTTTAACACCCCACTGACTTCACTGGATAGATTTTCCAGACAAAAAGTCAACACAGAATCAGTACTCTAAATGACACACTAGATCAGGTGGATTTAATTGATATTTACAGGATATTTCACCCCAAAGCTGCACATGGGTCATGCTCAAAGATAGACCACATGTTAGGACACAAAACAAGTCTCTACAAGTTCAAGAAGATTGAAATAATATCAAGCATCTCAGATCACAATGACATGACAGTAAAAACACTCAAAAACATTCAAACACATAGAGGCTAAATAGCATGTTATTAAACAATGAATGGGTTATCACTAAGATGAAGAAAGAAATTTAAAACTTCCTGGAAACAGATGAAAATGAACACACAACAACCCATAATCTATGGGACACAAGGAAAGCAGTCCTAAGAGGGAATTCATAGCACTACAGCCTACCTCAAAAAGTAAGAAAAATTTTTAGTAAACTATCTAACCCTACAACTTAAAGAATTAGAAAGCTCCCCTGTGAAGCCATCCAGAACAGGACATTTGTTTGCTGGGAGTTTTTTTTTTATTACTGCTTCAATTTCGTCAGTTGTTATTGGCCTATTCAGGTTTTCCGATTCTTCCTGATGCAGTTTTCCATGATCTCACTCATATGTGGAATTTAATAAACAAAATAGAGAGAGGAACAAAATAGATCCAGAGACACAGAAGCATAAAACAGACTAAGGGATCTCAAAGGGAAGGGAGGTAGTGGGTGGGGAGAGATTAATCAAAGAACTTCTATGCATATGTGCATAACCCATGGACACAGACAATAGTGTGGTGAAGGCCTGGGGGCAGGTTGGATGCGGGGTGGAGGGGATCAACGGGGAAAAAAGGGGGATATCTTTCAACAATAAAGATAAACAAACAATAATAACAAAAAACCATGCTACCATGTCCTTCAGTTCAGCCTAGATATTTTTGCTACAGTACACATCTTTGTAAGAGATATTAGTTTATGTGTGATTGATAAATAAAGGAGTTAGGTTCATATAATGTGGAAGTGAGATCAGCACATATGCAACTTTTCCTAGATAAGAACAGCCAGGTAAACAGGAATAGAATGAGAACCTTGGAAGGAAGGGTAAAAAACCCTCAACTCAGTTGCTGCACTCAAAGCAGAAGCCTTTATATTATTTTTTCCTTTGATTGATATGTTTCTAAGAGAACTGCAATAAAGCGTCCTTCTGTGTTTATGGATTTGGAAATTGTGTTCTTATAATTCAGTCATTTTTTGTGTGCATACAAATCTGTGTTCTTAGTAATAAGATTATGATCATTATAAGTTTTGTTTTTTATTATTTACTATTCCTTTTTATTTGTATTAATGGTTTTTGTCTTAAACTCTACTTGTCATTATATTGCTACATCCTTTATTTTTGGTAGTATTACATGGAATGTCTTTTTCATCTTTTTATTTTGTACTTTTCCAGATAGTTTTCTTTAGGTATTTATCTTATAACTAGCGTATTGTTCGATTTTTTCTTAAAAATCCAGTCTGATAAATCTGTTACTTATAAAAGAGTTAAGTATATTACATTTATTTTTTTATTAGTTTTATATTTGGGATTCTTTCTACAAGCTTATTTAATTTTGTTGTTGTGGTTGGCCACTTGTTTTGTTTGCTACTTTCCCCTTATGTGTTGCTGTTGATAGACATAATCCTTTCTCCTTCTGCAAATTCAGAAACTATAAAATATAGTTGTGTATGGTTTTAATTAAATACCATTACTCTGGAAATATGCATAATTAGCTATGAGTCGTAAAGTTTCTAATTTCTGTTCTTCTCCAAAGCAAAACATACATTCAGCACACTTTAATTATCCATTGGGCATTTTCATTCCAATATAATTTATTCTTGCCTAGAGTTTTAGTTCTATCATTTTTAGGCTCCCAAAGTTATTAATGTCTATAATTAATAGTTAATATAATCAACTTACATTCTAAATAAACAGCTTCAGGCGCTCTTTTAGGTCCCTCTTAGGAAAATTAAAAGCGAGTACCTGGCTCCCAGCTCTGACTTCCCAGAGAGGTTGCCTAGCTCTGGGCAGGTTGCACTTCCTCCTGGCCCAACCCTAATGGCAGCTTCCAGGTGAAGAGCTCCATTCTCCATTTTATCATATTAGTATCCATCATTCCTTCCCCTTTAACGTGTTCCCATTATTTTCACTCTTTTGTTTCTGTATATTTTACATCTCTGTAAAGGCTATAATTACAAATGAGAGAGGTTCTGTCTTTACTGTCCTTGTGCTATTTTCCCCCTACAAACCCTCTCCCCACCCCCTCTTATTTTAGCTCCAGATTTTTCAGAACTCAAAATATGTCAGGGAAACATCTCTATTAAACAAGAAATGCCTGTCTGTCCAGGCTGGCAATAAGGTCATTCTGATTGTGCACTGCAGAATGCCTGGGTCTTCCATCCACATAAAATATGTTGGGCATGGTGTCCCCTGGCATTCCATGGCATCTAAATAGTAAACCAATTAATTACTTTGAATTGGATTCTTCTAAAGAACTTTATGTAATTAAGTAGGGAAGCAAGCTTGAATTTTATTGATATTGTTCATTTAACATATATTTATATATATTTGCTTCTGGCCTAGTTTCAAATTACAAATTATGATTTAAGTTGAATAAATTGGTAATATAATATTCATATATGTTTGACTCTGTTACAAGTTGAAACAGAATATTAACACTTTGTGTTATTTTCCATGAGTGTTTACTGCATCTGTATTTATAAAGGATGATTCACTGATCATATTAAATATTTATGGCTTGGAATGCCTAACTAGAGATTAACACAAACTGATAAAAATAATTGCAATATTATAATTTTACCTTCTTTAATGTTACATGTTCAAAGAAAAGTGAAGGAACGCTATTCTAATTGTTAACTTTTATATTATTTTTCAGGTGCATTTTCTTGATTATAAATCAGTACCTTTTGATCAGAAAATGGAAAACCTAATGCAGATTAGGGAGCTATCAAAGGAAGTGAAAAAAAGAAATATTTTACTTTGTGGCCTTCTCATATATTACCCACAGGTAGGTAAAATGTTGTTCTCTTCAGATTGTATGCTCTTTAGACTACAGATTTAATCACGAAAACCTGACTTTGTTAAAAGCAAAGAAATATTAATAAGAAAAAAATCGGCTGGAAAATTACTTATCTATTCATGTTCTATAGTAGATAGAACCTCTCGACTTGAGGAGAAAAGTAAAAATCAAAACAAGTGTTTTGATTAGGGTTTCCCCTAATGAAAACTTGCAAATATCTCATCATAGGTAGCCCACATAGAATTGCCAGATATGTGACTAAAAAATCGGAATGCCCAGTTAAATTTGAATTTCAGATAACAAATAATTTGAAGTATGTTCCAAATTTGGAATTTGAAATTTGAAGTCCATATTTAACTGGACTTTTGTATTGAACTTGGCAATCTTAATGTCACAGCTCTTAGCCATTTGTGTAATTTGGAATTGCTTATTTCTTTTATGTTGTGCTAAAGATGTTGGTGAACATGTTTTTAATCATTTGAAAGCAGGGCTTGGCATTCAGATGACAAGAGGACATATTATTTAATTAGAGAAATCTCTTATTGTCATCACTGCCTTTTAATAGCAGCAAGTTGGTTAAGCTGAAGGTAAAATGAATTAGCGTTATAGATTCTTTGTGCAGAGAAATGTTATGTAAATCAAACTATTTGGAGAATCTTGTAGAGAAGGTGGATTTGCCCTTTATACATACTTTTCGTGGAATTTGCAGAATGCTTTATAGTTTCTTAGATGTACCACACAGGAGTCACATAAATGAAATAGTCAACTGCTTTTTTAATGGTTTGGAATAAAAGTTACTTGGTACTGACTGCCCAGGAAATGACAGGTATTTAAAGTCATATGGATGATGAATAACAGCTATTGTTGCTGAAATATTTAAGGTGCCTTTTTTGCCTGAAGGTAACATTTCTTTTGAAACATGGATTTTAATTAAATATAAGGATCATCTTTTAGCCAGTCCCTCAGTTTTCTTTAACTTTTGAGGTTGTTTCCTCTGCTTCCAGAATATGAAAGCATGACCTCCGGTTAGTCATAGAGAACAAAACTAACTTTAGTTTACTTAGGACCGTGGAATCGTAAAACGTTAGTGCCTTAGGGGCTATTGGAGTCAGAACAGCCAAAGCCTAGAGAGATAATAAACTTGCCCAAGGACATATAACTGGCAGAGTTCAGGAATATTTCCTCTTCATTAGATTGTCTTTGGTGGTGCTCTAGATGATTATGGTGGGAAAAACAAATCAGTTCATTCTCTTGTGCCATGCAAGGATCGTAGATGCACACTAATGCTACACTATGAGGACATAAAATAGAGTTTGTTGAAGATCTCAAAAGCTGAGAAACAGTAGAGTGCACACAGTCCCTGGAACTCTCTTCAACCTATGATTTAGGCTAAGTTAAAAGGGCCATGATCCACTGTAGCTGACATCTCAGTGCCCAATATGGTTGCCAGATGAAGCATAGCATTCCCAGTTAAATTTGAATTTCAGATATACCATAATTTTTAGTATAGGTGTATCCCAAGTATTACATGGAACATACTTGCACTAAAAATCCTTTGTTGTTACTCTGAAATTTAAATATAACTGGACATCTTGTGTATTTATTTGCTGAACCTAATAACCCTTATAGAATTTATATTTACAATGAAATTATTTTCCCACCCCTGGTATGTTCCACACATTTATGGAATGGAGTCAGGTGAGTGTGTACATGACTCTGTACCTGTGAAGGCTGCCTGTTTCAAAAAGTGGCCTTGTTGGAAAGGAGGAGCCTTTGCTGCCTACTGCTTGGTATCTGACCTCCGTTGTTTTGAGCAAAGTTGGACTGGCTAAGCCAGCTCTCTACTAAACTTCCAAAAATGGGAACAAGATGATTTTGCAAGACCTTCAAGATATGCCTCTCTCTTTTCTGTTTTTTGTGGCTCAAGGAGCCATGAGCAACAAAGTCTCCCATGATACCCTGTGTGAGGCGGTGCATGAAGTCCTCCATGGGAAACCATGCAAGCACAGCAAGTTTTTGGAGACTGAGGAGCTGCAGATCAGCTTGAAGAACTATGACCCTCAGAAAGACAAATGCTTCTTGGGCACCGTCAGGCTTAAATCCACTTCTCTCTCCAAGTTCTCTGTGTTCTGGGGGACCAGCAGCACTGCAGCGAGGCTAAGGCTGTGGATATCCCCAACTTGGACATCCAGGTGCTGAAGAAACTCAGGAATAAGAAACTGATCAAGGAGCTGGCCAAGAAGTATGATGCCTTTTTGGCTTCAGGGTCTTTCATCAAGCAGATCCCACAAATCCTGGCCTGAGTAAGGCTGGCAAGTTCCCTTCCTTGCTGACCCACAGTGAGAACATGGTGGCCAAAGTCGATGAAGTGAAATCCACAATCAAGTTCCAGATGAAGAAGGTGCTGTGTTTGGCCGTGACTGTTGGTCATGTGAAGATGACAGTGTACAACATCCTTGTAGCTGTCGATTTCCTGGTGTTATTGCTCAAAAACAACTGGCAGAATGTCAGGGCTTTACACATCAAGAGCATCCTGGGCAAGCCCCAGCACCTGTACTAAGGCACAGCTTAATAAACCATACTACTACCATTAAAATAATAGTTATGCTTCTCCTCATTTTAGGAAACAAGGATAGCACACTTGGGCGCAGCTTGTCTCTTCTTAAAAATATAATAGTGAAGCTGTTTCAAGTATTGAGAATGTGTAAAATATATTTATTCTCAAAGACACAGGTGTGAGTTGACTCTTACTAGCCCAACAAACCGTCCAGTGCATAATTCCACCGTAAATTGTATTTATCAAAGACCCAGTGCTGTTTACCAGATAGGCCATTAAAAAGAGGCTATGGTTTAAAAAAATGGGGAAGCATCAGTGAAAAGAGTTAAGCAGACTTCTTTAATGAAGGCCTTCTCAGAAACCCTTTTCATACTAATGAGCATTTCATATATCCAAATTGGGGGCAAGGGGTGTGCCATTTTCTGTTTTCTCCTGTAACCCTTTAACTGTAGATAATTCATGGGACTAACGTTCCATAAAACAAGCTTTGGAAAACACTCCTCATAAATATGTCCTAAGTAAAGAAACCTCTATCTCTGGACTGACTCTTTTTATGCTTCTATACTAATTTTTCCATTTAGTTAAATCAGTCTCTCTAGTACTGATTGCCTACTTGATAGGCATTCTGTTAACTCTAAGGATGTGAAAATATATAAGCTGGATCTTCTGTTTGCTGTTTAGTGAAAAGAGTGTTGGTTTCTGCTTACCATGGTGGTGTGAGATAAAACTTTTTGTAATGTTCCTACATTGGACTTTTTCCCTAAATCTAATCCATCTCTGTGATAGTCATTAGGTTGTTTACATAGATAGTTATGTATTCTTTTAAGTCTCTGACCAATGAAGGTTTTCTAGATTTTTAACCGTTTTTCCTAAGACGTAATATGAAGTGCTTCATCTCTGGGTAGGTTTTCAGCTTATTGATAGTCCCTCCTTGGAAGAGAGAATATAGAGAACTGACTTCAGTATCTATGCTATGTATATGGTCTTTTGGGCTTAAAGAAGATCTGCTGTGATATGATATTTCTGATTATGTAGATGTTCTTGATTTTTTGGCTGCACCTTCACAGTGTTGATGTATATGGTGTTTATAGTTAAATAGAATTATGTAATCCTTTTTTTAAAATAACACATGAAGCTGTTAAGCTTCTGTTTGTGTTTGTGTAGAATTCTTTTACACATATATATAAGACTTTCTGCGTTTGATGAATTTAAACTTAGTTGTTTGTGTTTTTTTAGTATTTCAGTCTTTTATTATCTTTTTTGCTGTAAAATAAAACATAATTAATTAGCTATAGTTTCTTTCTTCATGTAATTTACAAATTAGATGTTGTGTATATTTTGTATATACCTTTAGGGAAAAATTGATTTGGAAAGGGCTAAAGATTGATTCCTTTTTTTTTTAGTATCTGTAAATGTTCTACAATGCTGTTTGTGATCAATTAATGATCATTCTTTGGTAATTAAGTAACTGACAAACACATCTAATTGTATAATATTTCAACTTAGTTTCTTTATATTTTCTCTACTGACATAAGAAATTTTAACAAATGCTTTGCTTAATTCTAGGTATGCTCCACATATATGCATTTTTTCTAATCGTAGAGATATTATTTGCTAAATTATTGAATATGCTAGTTCCTTAGCTCTATCAATGTAGTAGAGCACTAATTTTTCCCCCTAAAATTGACTTTAAAATATTCTAGTGATCTCAGTAAATTAATAATTTTAAATAAGCTCTTTGTGGTTATCTTAAACTTATACTTAAGGATCAAGTGCCTGGCTTGACCATTTATATATAGTAAAAAGTTTTCTGACTCTATCATCCAGTGCTCAGTTCCTCCAACTGTTAATAAATCAGAAAAGATTTGAAATTTATGCTCCAGACAAGAAATGCAGCATGAAGTTTACCTTCACAATTTGTTGAATGAATTTAAATCAGGTCCTATCCTTCTTTCTAAAACAACCATACAAACACAACTATGAATAATATTAAAACCAGGTTTTATAGTTTAATCATATATAGGAGCTTAGTCCCCTTTAGAGTATTATTTTAAATAACTCTATACAGGAAATATTACTCTTCATTTATCCTGTTATTTCAACTTTGTTATGCAAGTCACCATTGAGGTCCAAGATATAAAATTATGTGTTTGGGGAACATGTTCTAATTATTTGAAAATCTATATCTGATCATATAACAGTGAACTTATAGAAATTTATTATTTCTGGAATGAACTATTTAAGCCAATAGCTTAGAGTGTGTAGTATTCATTTAATTGAAGCCTAAAATATTGTTATGAGGACTTTTTTTGTGCAGTATTTACAAGTATACATTTTTAAATAAAAGTTTGCACATGAACTTTTATTATAAAATTTATAAAGTCTATAAAATTTATAAAGTCATGTAGCAGTTTTCTGTTTAATCTTTGCA